CGTTATTTAAATTCATTAGAATTCTTATTTCTATTTCCTCTAAAAAACTAAGTTAGGATAATCGATTTCCGTGACCAATGTTTCAGGCTACTTTATATAAGGCATTCCTCCGCTTTATGCTTCTTTCTGACTTAGACCCAGTTCCTATATATGTATATATATATATATATATATATATTTATGCGTATGCATGTATATCTAAATTCTATAAATCCACCTAGATTAAACCACATCTGTAATTTTAAGCATGTCTATAGTTATAACGTCTAGGGGTAATGTGCTCTGCCACTTTCTGGCCACAGCTCTCAATTATCGTTCTAAGAAAGCTAATTATTTAAGGGATGAAGGTTAAAAATGAGTTAGTTATAAAATTAAAACTTTTAATTTCCCGTAAGAATTTCGAATTTTTTTCCTTATAACTTGAAATATCATATCTGACTTTCCTTCTAAATATGGCCTTTATTCGATGGCTTACCACGAGAATTGCTATCTGTTATTCGATTTTACTTTATTTCTTTTTAGACTGCACCGCGTGGATATGCTGCTTTGTTTTGGTCAGTCGTTTATTAAAGTCGGTCTTGTATCCACTAATATTCGACAAAGGCTTCGGGGTATCTGTTTTCCATCGTCTCTTTTCGGGCCATGCTTGCTTAATTCCTTCATTCTCGTTCACAGTCGTTTTTACTTAATTGCCCCTCCTGGCATGAGTTCCTTCTCTCGCACATCAACGCCTATATATCCTGGTTCAGTCGCACTGTTTTTCCCTCGCTGCATACGACTTCCAGGTAGTGGACAGCCTTCGCGTCACTCAGGCTCTCGGTTTCCCCACAGCCGATTTGTACGCCCCTTCTCAGAGCGTTTTGACGAACAATGCGATCCCAAGCCACCATTGCACCCCGAGACTCCTCTTTATGACAGTGGGTTCGTCTGAATAGTAAAAAGTTTTTGTCATTTTAATTTGATTGCGGAAGATAATCTGAATCGTGAAATAAATTCATGTTGATGCAACCTTTTTGACTCGTCTTGTCGGCTTACATTAAGATTTTAAACTAATTGCATTCTTTTTATCCGTTCTCATCGTTCACCTTCGTAAATTTTCACCCTTATTGAGTTGAATTCCACCTACGACGTGGAAAAAGGGGATTTGGCTGATTTTCTTGATCTCAGGCCTCGGAATATCGCCAAACTCTATTTATATAGCCTCGACCCTCGCACTGAGCACAACATTAATCACAATATAGCTACTTTTAGGAACGAAGCGCGTCTATTTAATTGCTATATTTTTTTACTGATCTATAAATCTACGTTCATCAACTTGAACATCAGATTTTAACCTACCGTTGATCGCCCTTATACTTATTTCTAAGTTAAGTGTGCTCACTTTTGACCATATTTGATGAGTAGGTCGTTTTCTTTCTCCTAGCTTCTATATTTCGGGACGAAATCAGTAAGTTGCTAGAATCTCATAAACTGAAAGCAATTGTAGGGAAATTTCTTTGTTTTTTAATCTAGTTTCTGCGAAAGTCAATGAGTTTTGCTATGTGATGCCCCAATTCCTGTATTCCCAATGGAATAAGCTTTCTGGCTCCTTAAATGCTCTAATTACACTACTCAGCACTTATTATTTTCAAGTATGCTTACCCTACTTTTCTGGAGAGGCCATTGGTTCAAAATTTTCCGAATATATAGAGTGTAAGCTGAATCCTCGCTCTCATGTGCACAGCAGCGGATTTCGGTTTATATACAAGGCGATCGTCATCCTTACACAGGCACTTGATGACCTCACAAACTCTGTCTCATTCTTTGTCTCCTAGTTGCCGTAGTAGCTAAACGTACCTTTTCCAAAGTCCTCTTCTATAGTAGATGCAATAAATCCCTGTATTGGACTGTGGACTTGGTTCATTCTCAGACGTTTCTCCTGAATTGTGGTCGGCAGTATCATTGAGTCTTGCCATTTCTAGCACCAAGCTACAACTCTTCAAAGAGGCGGATCCTTATTTTATATTTTAGAGTTTTTCATTATTTTAGGACCAAATACGATAAAAAGTTTAGGAACTTGGATATAAGAATGGCAGTAATGATGTCTATTACGATGTAGGCGGAACATCTGGGAATGTACCAAGTCTACGGTTCGATACAGTGATTTATCATACCTGTAGAAGAGGACTTCGGACAAGATGCGTTCAAATAGGTCGCCCTAACAACACAACTAAGTTTCAAAAGGCTTAAGCTTCACGTTGCAATGCCGTAAGGATAACGGGGAAAAATATTGATAGAACTCAAATTTTACTGACTTTTTACCAGAAGAGACTGGGGAGGAATATCAAGTTGTTGGTTGTTCCTTTAATTGATAGCGATGTAACTATTAGTTACTAAATTATTTTTTAGATATATGGGTGACCACTTTCCCGTTTGACAAGATGGCTAAGAGAGCCTTGAAGCCATTCTAGATTTAGTACACCAAGTTAATGCGAAGATCCAATTCGCCGTAGAATTATAAAGGGATCGTAGTTTGACCTTTTCTAAATATCATTTTAAATAAAGAAATAACTTATTTTCAAATTTTACTGCATACTCCTCTGATAGTATCCGTCAGATAACTGACAAAATCTCATAAAGGATTCATCGGGGTCGCAGTGCGGTGCGCTGAGGACTTATCCGCATAAATCTAGTCAGCTCCAAGGTGAGGCTAGTTTACGAGTCCCTTCAAGTCGCCTCCTCGAAATGATAGTCACTTTAAAATCAATAGCAATTATCTCATGGACACAGCTTATCTCTACATATTACTTC